TCATTACAGCTTTAAAGAAAACCATTATAGATGAATGTTGAAAAAGAAGCAGACAAAGAAAACGACAGTAGGGAATATAAGAGCTGAGAGTCCTTAGTCATGGGCAGAAGTGAAAGAGATAGTGAAACTGGCAAGAAGAAGAGTCTATGAAGGCTTAGCAGACTGCAACAACATTACCTCTACGGTTGGACCCTCAGTGAATTAGCGGCAGACTGAACATTTTGCAGTAACTTCTCTAGCAAGTCACAAGTATCTCCATCCCTCTGAATATACAAAAAAATTTGGTGTTAAAATATATATAAATGCAAACCAAAAAAAAAAAGAAAATTATGGGTTTTGAGTTTACCATAAACTGAGCTTTAATTGTCCCATCCCGTAAGCACTGAGGAAGACACCTTACCAATTCTTCACAAGCTCTATTGAAGAAGAAAAAAAATGAATATGGTTAAAAACATAAAAAGCATATATGGTTAAATGAAGTAACTTATAATTAAATGAAGTAATTAATTGAATGAAGTAACTTATGGTTAAAGAAAGAGAACTTGTAATTAAATGAAGTAACTTACATTTTGCGATTGGAGAGGCGGTGATAGCATATAATCGCAGTCTTTGCAAATAGAGAGTATCCACACCTCGAGACCACAGGGAGGACAGAGGCTAACCCATCAGCAACTGCAATAAATCTTCCTTGCTCCTTTGTCACATGATCCAATCCAGTATCAGTCAAAAGAATGGTTTTTATTATCGACAATGAACGCTGCAAAAAGAGTATACGTGTTAAAGGTTAAAAAAGAAAGCTACTTAGGAGGTTGAAAAAAAATGTTAGTGTTGTTACCTCTGCTGAGTTTCGTCCAAGAGGCAATGCACGGAGACAGTTTTGCACAAGGCCACTCTCAAGGATGTACTCCATGTCCTCAGGATCAAGACCCTGATTAGCATAAAAATTCATAAGAAGCAACATCCTCCTAAACAGTATATATATTCATAAGAAGCAAAAAGGAAATTCATTTACTGAGAGATTTAGAAGTTTACCTTCACAAGACAAGCTAACACGGCTAAAGATTGGTTACGGACGTCTTGAATTGGTAAACCTGTGTTTGTTGCGTGAATGAAAAGATACAAGTAATCTTGTATAGAGGCTGAAAAAAATATATATATCAAGCATTAGTAAAAAAAAAAATTATTTGGGAAAACATAAATAACAAACAGAGCATAAGTAGAGAAAATACCTTTCACAAGAAATTTTTGTGTATCCTCGTGAGACGCGAGGCACTTGACGAGGCGAAGGAGCTTACACAAGATCTTGGATTGGTCGAGATCCAAGGACAATGGTGACTGTGAGTTCCTGACAAACTCCTTCAAAGGAAGAAAAAGAAACCAATCAGGATCTAACTTTTACATTAGAGAAAGAAATAAGTAAAAGCAGAAAAAGAAATGTATACCAATAGTAAGCTGGTGAATACACCTTTTGAATACCAAATTGTTGGAGCCAAGTCACAAAATAGTTCTGCGTTCTACACAAACAACAAATGATGATAATCAAACCAGGTTGTCCTTGTGAAAGAAAAATGAACACAAGAAGATGTAAGTTTCTGCAAGAAAATGAACACATCCAAGGATAATTAAGCCATATGTTAAATATACCTTGGTGAGCTGGAGAATCGCATTGTTCCTTAGATCATTGTGATCTAGTTCGAGTACAAGTTTCTGCAAACCAACAACAGAAACCATATTATTTGAACAACATAAACAAACAATACTATATGGTTCCATAAAAAGTGTTCCTCACCATGGTTCCGCAAAAGAATGATTCCTCCTGTTTTATAATCTCAACGATCTTCTCTGTATGCTCCTTCAGTTCTGGAAATACTCCAACAAAAGAGCTTACAAGTCTGCAAGTTAAAATGTACAAACCCGTTGGTGAAGTGATAAACACATATAAAAAATATCCCATAGGTTGAAACAATAGTTTATATATCCTTACCCACTGAAAAAGCCTTCTTTGGCTTCTAGGTATTGGATTCCATACGGAGCGGCTCGTTGAAAAACACGCCGCAGGGCATGCTCTGTTCCCTCCTTACCTATAGCAAAACACAGAGCATTATGGTGTGAATTCTATAAATTACAAGAGAGAGAGAGTAAAAGCCGTGGACATACCAGGACGTGATCCATACGCAATAGCAAAGGATAAGGTTCTTAGATGATCGGCAACCACTCGATATGCCTCGGAGACATAGCTCAATCTGGATCATATTCCTTAATCCCCGTGGCCTGAAAATGGAAGGACCGTAAGGGACTTGGCATTGGATCAATGAGAATGATGATAGGTAATAAAATAAGCCGACCAAAGAAAACTACCTTTTGGATGTCACGATAGATGGGCAAGAAGATATCTGTGTCATAGCTGCTCATTTTGTGCTGAAGAACAGAAGCCAACCTCTCTGCTCTCTGTTAAGTTTCCTGAGCTTCCAACCCAAAATCAATTGGCAATGAGTGGATTGGCCCAAATCCCTTATATATTAGTCAAAGTCCCTCCCAACTTCTGATGTGGGATATATCTTACACACACTCTCTAGAGATTAAGGCCTTATGACCTATTAACCTCTACTTATCCCAATACTCTCTAATCCCATTCTGGTACCAACATGCTTAGAAGGCAGAGGTTTTAGCGAGCCATCGCTTTCTCTGTTGAACTATTTCAAAAGAAAGCACAAGCACACGTAGCATGCCCCATCAAAGGAAGAATTTGGGAATATATTAGCAAAGCAAGGAACAACCTAGCTGACGGGATATATAGAGCTGCATTTACATGATGTACAAAATCATTAAAAGAGCAACCAGACTCTGAATAGACCTAGACGATACAGAGGAAGCAAATTACAAAAATGGAGAGAGAGAGAGAGAGAGAGAGAGAGAGAGAGAGAGAGAGAGAGAGAGAGAGAGAGAGAGAGAGAGAGAGAGAGAGAGAGAGAGAGAGAGAATTTGTACCTGAACAAAGACAAGATTCCATATTTCTATACAAGTTTTATCATCTTGCTTGTTAACCAAGGATGCAGCGTAACGGTCACCAACACGGTCGTAATGTATCTGAGTACAAGGTCCACACGGGCCTGTGTATCCCATTTCCCAGAAGTTGTCCTGCAAATACATCAGATGATAATAAACGAATGAAGGATACCATTTAGAAAACCCGTACGTTTTGTACAAGTTTATAGATGAAAATCATGAGCACCGCCTGCCAACAATCAAAAGAAAGCACATTCCTACTCCAAAATGCAATCAAGCTTCACGTTGGCTATAGACAAATCAATGTAGCGAGATACACCAGAAGCAGTAGCAACGGTGCAATATAAGCGGTCTTAACAATGGAAGAAGTTCAAAGTAGGACAAATGGATCACTGCAAAAAACTAGAAACTCCTATAGTGATGTACTTCTGAAGAAACCATATGGGACGTCAATAAAGTAGTGTATGCATTTCAAAGCAGGTCGAATTTATGGGAATGATGGAAGCACACATACTTTGTAACCAAAGGGCAGCACACGTTCAGGTGGAAGAAACTTGAGCCATATATCTCTAGCCTCATCATCAGGTGGGAGGCCAGCTTTCTCATCACCGCCAAAATAGGTAGCGTAAATGTGCTTAGCCGGTACGCCATAGACCTGAGGGATGCAGAAACAATAATACTTTATTGAACATCATGCACATTTGCTTAAAACCACATGAACGACCACAAATGCTCCTCTTCAAGATGCCCAGTTTACCTCAGTTAAAAGATCCCAGGCCCATGCGATGGCTTCCCTCTTGGAGTAATCTCCAAATGACCAGTTACCAAGCATCTCAAAGGAGGTGTGAGGGTAACTAAGTTCCCCCACGAGCTCGAGATCGTTGTAATTTCCACCAGCGCGGATACACATCTGGCTGTTACATCCCCGCTTAAACTGCTTCATGCCTTGCAAAAGAAAGGAAGAAAAACATAAATTCCAGATAACGAGTTTTAAACATCGCTCGTTTTTCTTATGCTGTGACAAGAGGAAGAAGGAGATTGAGCCGAGTTATCATGATTTTTCACCCCAAGTTTCCCAAAATACATATTTACAGAGCAATTACAGGGGAAGGGTTATACGGTGGCCAACTACTTCCTTAGATGATGGAATCCATGAAACATTTCAACGAATCCACAAATCAGTAAAATCCTAATTCCATAGTTACCTATATCAAATTCACAAAGCATTTACAGCTCCGCAACTAGTGTCGGAGGACGTGAGATCAACACAAATCAGAAGAATCCGAGTTCCATAGTTAACCCTATCAAATCCCTAAGCTTATCGACATTAACAGATATAAGCAGGGAAAGATCAAACGCCGAATCTCTATAGTTTTGTACCATTGTTAGTGAAGAGAGTAGGATCATTGTCAGGAATCACCGAGGTTGGTGGACAGAACGCATGGCCTTTGTCCTTGAAGAAATCGATATACGTCTTCCTGACTCTGTTCGCTGGCCACTGTAGCTCCGCCATTACTGAGAAATTTGAACAAGGAAGATCGGTGGAAACGAGGAAACCCTAGACGAAGGTTAATCTCGGAGGAAATGCAGAATAATTCTCCTCTCTCTCTCTCTCTCTCTCTCAGCTCCACCCAAAACAAGTGCCTCGGCTCTTCTTTCTCCTAGCTTATGGCCTCTGCGAGGTTTCATTCAAACTATGGCGGTTTCAAAGTTTTCCTTTTTCTAAAATGACCCCTTTTCTTACCCATATTTGTACATTTGATCCTTTTAGTTTTCAAAATTAAAACACAACCCCCAGAAACAGCGTTTGCTTACTAGGGCTCTTTGGATCGAATTGATAATCTTGGGCCGGACAAAAACAAAATAAAGATGTTTCTGGGCAAGTCTATTGCTCAATAAAATAAATAAAAAATTCCACCAAGTACAAATTGATAAAAGGGGACTTTGTACAATTGCAATAGAGAAGACTAAAGTTGATCGATCGTTTGATTAAACTACAAATAGATAATATTGTCCACAAAGCAGCATGAGACAGAGGCATAGGTAAAACAAGCGCCATCACAACTATCACCAATGCCTCCTACTACAAGTCTAACTCTTCTTTCCACCTTCTTCTCTACATCGTAACTGAGAAGCTCCATAGGATCAGAATACCGCCGTGGACAATAGACGATCTCTCCAGCAGCACTCATCCCCGCAAAGTTCAGGCCTCGTTTCAAGAACAACGAATGGGTAAAAGAAGAAAAGACCAGAGTCTTTTTGGACCAAACTTGATTCTCAACATCATCAAGAACCCACAAAACTATACGATCATCTTTAGAGTAATCATACGCAGCTAACTTCCCCAGGTAGTTTGTCAGGTAGGCTACCATCTTTTCAGGTGTTTTGATGAGACGAAGCTGCTCGGACGCGACATCAAAACTACTCACTACCACATAGTTACCACATGGCTCCAAGCTAGCTTCGTAATAGACAACCCCATCGATGCATACCCCATTGTATTCACAATAATAATAAGAGATATTACTTTCGATGCGTCTCCATGAGGAAGAAGACAGTTGACCTCCCAACGTGCATACGCTATGTGAAATAGCTTTATCAGAGCAAGTCTTCATCTTCAGGCGCAACACCTTGTACTGGTCCTTGACTGGGTCGTATCCCAAGTACATGTAAAGTGCTTTACTTTGAGAAATCGGATTATAGTCTTCGGGCAAGACTACGACTTGTCCTGTGTTTGGATTACACACCGCGAAACGACACCGGAGGGAACAACATACGAAGCCACGGACAGAATTACTCTGGAACATGCAGTCGTCAGATCTGACTTTCGGAATCGTCAAAGTGTTGCTTTTCGCGGTTACCATTGACGATGATGATGAAAAAGACGAACTTTGATGAGGTGAGCAGAAGAACATCAATTGATCGTCCCCTTCGTTATTGACACTAAGGAGGAGACGAGGTCGAGACAGAGACAGAGACATGAAAGCGTCGGCGAATTGTCGGCTACGGATGACGGAACACCATGTCTTCGACACAAATCTGAATCTGTCGAGAGATTTCGCCGGCAATCTCAGCAGGATCTCGACCATCAGATCCAGAGGGATGTTGTATCCGACGGTTGTCATCGTCTCTCTTCTTCGTCCTTCACACTCGCACAAACCCAAAGAGCGGCGGTAAAGAGGATTAAGCAAAGATGTGGATAAATTAGTCGCCCTTATAGTATGGGCCCCAGAGGAAGGCCCATTTATATGTTCATATATGTCAAAAAAAATTGTTGGGCCCTAATATTTCAGAGGACGAAGAAGAATCTTGCACTCATCTTCTTTCTGTCGAGTTATGATGAACATAGCAAAATTTGACGGTGAGATTTTGATCTAAATTGGGATTGAACTTGTCTGATTTTTCACTTCCCCTTAGTGTTTTTGGTTCTGCCTAGAATATGGGTTGTGATGTTCTTCTATGTTCAGTGGAGTGTACATAATATAATAAGAGACAAATTTGGTATCACACGGGCTTCTGAACTGAACACTTATTATGTATGCTATTAACATATCAAAACACTGGTTAAGGTTACTCCAGAACTTTTACGTCCATGTTAGGTAGTAATGACTAAAATACCATAGAAGATAAACAAAATCTTGAGTAATATAGTCTTGGACAAAAATGTTTACCAATTTTAATCTACTGGATACAAGTTCAGCTGTGAAAAAAATGTATATCACTGTGATTCACAAGAGTTACTTTTGCATTTTTGGGAGGGATATATCTATCATATTTTGCATATTAGGATGATGTAGCAAATATCAACGCTTGACATAGACTCGTTTTACTCTGTTTTCTTTGCTCTGTTTCTGACATTAAAATGAAAAAACTTACATCTCGGAGTTGAAACTTACTCAGGGGAATTTCTTGTTACGGAGAGACTCCGTTCAAGAGTTGAGGCAAAGAAACAGGAGTCTCTGTCGTAACGTGTTGATGAAGGAACCCGAGTTCGCCAGAAAACCGTCTTACTTGATCCGTCAGTTGCTTGTGAAAGATCCAAAGAGGCTGTAAGGTTTCCGGCGTGGCGTAGCAGAAATAAAGTGGGACCTGTTAACAGAGGTGTATAAGACCTCTATTTATTTCGTTGAGAGGTCTTAACACCTCCATTAATAAGCAATGCATTTAGTTGATTATTAATATCCATTTCTTTTCATTCATGTCACCAAAATCCACTGAATGTGTATATATATAAACAATGAAAGTGACTTCCAAAAATGATCACCAGAACAAAATCTATATACGCAGGCAAGGGAAGCTACCTTCCATTCGAGTTGATTGTGTTCAGAACCACTAAAAATGGATGTCCTCCCAAGCCATACCCAAATCTATAAAAGAAAATATTATCTCCATATTGTTTTCAATATAGATTTAACTAGGCACTAGCCTAAGTTTAAAAAATATACTACATCTATTTTCTAAAAGAAGGATTTTCTAGCTATATATTTTGTTCCGTTTCATAAAGATAAATTTCTTAATTATTCTATGCATTTTATATTAATTAATAACGGCGATGAATCGTAAATTTTAATTATCTGTTGGTTTGGAGTCTTAAAATTTGTTTAGTAACAAGAAAAATTAATAGTCAAGCATTAACTTTCTTCATTTTACTTAATGTCTCTAGTAAAATTTCGAGAGATAAACAAAGATGTATACAAAAACTTGCATATGTGCATACGTACCTTTAGTGGTTTTCCAAGAGACATTAAGTCTTGGTCGAGGAGGGACCATTGATTTACGGTCACAAGATTTGAATGGGAATGTTCCAACATTTTCAATTCATAAGAAAACCTGTTCCTTTCCTTATCACCAGAATCCATTGGATTTCCACTCATTTGTGGAGTTAGATATTCAATTCTATTTGCCATATCTGGTTTTAAAGTCTGAAGTCTAAGGGTATAAGCTTTCAACTAGCATTGTAATATGCATGAATACCTGCAATTATAAACTCAGTATTATACTTTAGAATTAGTGAAAGAGAAAAAAAAAACAGAATGAAACAACTTGAATCATAGATTCTTCTTACTTGCCAATGGAGTCTCATATATACTTCTCAGGGTTTTCTGACTTAACAACAAGATACATATTCTTTGTGCCTATTAAGTATTTGAGTTCCAAAAATATTTCCGTTTTCTTAGGCATGTTCATTACAATAAACACGCTCAATTCATCAGTGAAGATTACCATCTGCAAAACTAAAAAAAAAAAATTAGAAAGAATAATAATAAATATTGAATTTCTGAAGAAATTATGCAGACTACCTCGAATTCACGACTTCAAAGTACTCTTTGTAATCACTGGTCCAAAAACAAAAAAGACATGTTAGAAATACTTCACAGCTATTTACTTATTATATTTCCAAAAATAAATACATGTTGATCATCAATTACGTTCACAGCTATTGTGCAATGTAGGTACAATTAGAAAACTCTATATTCAAACTTGATCATCAATTACGTCATGCCACTCCTTTTGCCACTGTAGGAACTGTTCGAAACACTCATATAAACCCTTTTGAAGATGGCAATACTTGCTTATTTCGAAAGTTTCATGGTTGTGGAAGTTTACTGGCTCTACTGGTGTCATTTTTCAGGATGATGTTCCTTTGGAGGTTGTGAATTTAACATATGAATATTGGGAAAGAGTTGCCAAGAAGATCCTTGTTTTTGCATAGAAGCCCAGTGGTCAATAGAGAAATTTGAAAAAACTACTTGAAGAGTTGAAAACTCGGGAAGCCCAATGCTCTGTTTCTCTCTTAACGTTGATTCTTGCTTTACGTGCTTTGAAACATCTTCTTTGGTTTTACTTCTTGCAGGCAGGTTTTAAACGACTTGAGGGCTTTCCTATGACATTCTGGTGGGCTCTTTTCGTTGAAGGAGCTCGTTTCACTCAGGAGAAGCTTGAAGCTGCTCAAGATTACGCCTCTAGCAGAAGCTTACTGTCTCCTCAAAATGTCTTGAGTCCTCGTACAAAGGTGAGTTTCACCATAACAACTTTCTAATTTTTGTGTGAGCTTTACTTCACCACTTGGATTTACATCAATATGACAAAAATCAGGGATTTGTTTCGGCGGTGTCTCACATACGACCGTTTGTCTTTGTCTTTTGTTCCCGAGACAAATGATAAATCAAGAACCTGCCTGCGTAATTTCGTTTCAAGTATTTGAAATGATCGAACAATATTCTAAACTATAAAGAGATTGCAAATGTCTTTCCATATTACATTATAGATTTCGTTCTTACTCCAATACTTACCAATGAGACATATTTTGATGAGCTCCCATTGGTTTTGAGGTTAACCCACTCCTAAGTCATCACACATCTGATAGCTTCTACAGTTGCAGTTTTGAAATGGAAGCAGAAGGAGATGTTAATTTAAACCACTATTGTCAGCAAAAAGCCTAATTCTTACTGGAGATATTAATTTAAACCCAAGGCCATCATCATTATTCATTACTTGAGAAGATACGTAGCCTTCTAGTAGTATGTTAATTTAAACCACTATTGTCAGCAAAAAGTAATTAAATATTCATTAGCTAGTGACTATGCAAAAAGAGTGTTTACCATCATTTATTTTATATATTTGCATTACTATAAAAAAGTGATTCTAAAAGTAGTCTACACAATTGTTGCAAAATATTTACAAATATTTGTATCAATTTTTCAAGCTCCATTTTTAGCCCTTGCGCTTTGTGATTTTTTGAATTTTTTTTTGTTGATCCACTATCAAGCTTTATTTGAAAGGAGGTGAAAGTCAGTCATATGAATTTAAAATGAAATAATGTTATGTCATAACAAGCCGGAATGATATGAGCACTTGATATGAAAGGCATCCCTCCAGTTTGGATAAAATCAGTGGTACGGATCCAAGGGTCATCCAAGAGATTAATAGGGACAGTTTCATAAGCAGTACGGATAAGAGTCCAATGCAAGCAAAGAGAAAAGAAATCAACAAAAAAAGCTCGTGAGATAGGTTGTGGAGATCAGATAGGAAATGTTAGAATATTGAATGAATTAAATTTACTTACATATTTGTAGCAGCTTGACACACAACCAGAAATTTAAATTTTGAAATATAATTAATGTCACCAGAATATTACTTCAATTATGATCTTGAATTATATATATTGTCTTTTGCTTATTATCTTCAGTTATATGTTTTTGTCTGCTAAAGTATGTACTACTCTGCAAATGGATCAATCTTACGTTGCATTAATTCCACAACGGCTTTAATATGCCGGATTCGGTTTTCATGCAATGACAAGTTTCGAGTTTCGACGATGTGACCGATCGAGATTATATTCTCGTTGGCCTTGAGGAAAAAGCATGCCTTGGCCAGCACGTTATTACGTCTTTGTAAGGGATTACTGTGGTTATCAAGGTCTCCGACATATACGTTTAACCCTTTGCGTTATATGTATGAACCCGTTGTTTTTGCATATCGGACACAGTGTATAAATATATATATGTTGACTTGTAATATTTGTTTATCACGTAGCGGAATCAAATACTAAGCAAGAGAATGCATGCATGCCTAAAAGTGGTAATAATCGACCAATTTCGTGAAGGAGATTCTGAAGATGCAATATTTATTGTAACATAAATTGCAAATTGGAAAGACCTAATGAATTTGCCTTGGCGAAAACGCTATATATGGGATCGATACCTCGGACTTACTTAGTGATTTTGGTTTTTGTCAACTTCAATCTGATTTGTTGACAATTTCTAGAAGCCATGTCGTCACCTATATTGTTGTTTCGTAACATCTATTCATCTTCCCAGGATTGGAAACTCCTTCAAGATCAAGGAAGTGAACATCTATGTCACCCTCTTCAGTTGTCTTCAGGTTTGAAGTTTATAAGAGATAAAGGAGAAAGGCAAAGCATCTGCCACATTCAACTGTGCCAAAATTGAAAGAGAAAAAGATCTAAGATCAAAGGTTTTGCATATGTTGGTTCTGATCAAGGTTCTGCACTCAGGAGACTTAAAGATGCAACCGATACGAGCTACCCTTCTAGTCTTTTCAGAGTATTGGGATATTGTAAAGGTAAATTAGGTTTAATATCGCTAGGTACCAAAATAACATTTAATTTTAGAAGCTAGCTTCAAAAAATTAGGTATACTGTATCATTTATTTTATTTGTTAATATCACTTATTGATTGATGAAAATACAGTTGCATTATTTAATTAAATAACTATGGAAGTGGTGATGCTAATTATTCATATCAATATTATTAATTGATGCAACTATTTTCATCATTTATATTAATTAATATTAAAATATGTCATTTGGAGTAAATGATATTAACATTTGTATTAGTTAATATAATTGAAATAAACATTTTCATCAGTTAATATAAATGATGTTAGTATTTGTCTTAGTTATAATAATTGATGATAGTATTATTATGTAATTATAAATCAGAGATATTATATTTTTTTGTTAATTTAAAGTTCTGTTTTAACTTTTATAATATTATAAATTTAAGATAACTAATCATTTTATATTTATGATTCTAAAAAATATATGTAAATACATATATGTGATTTAACATAAAAAAGTTTGGTGTTGGGGAATTTCGTTTATAAAGGAGGAAACTAGTACTCTTTATCTTTCTTAGCAATATATGACATATAGTTGTTTATTAAATTTTTTATCTGCATTATTTTTATAACTGAAAAAAATATTAGCATAATTTATTATTGATGTTAATATGAGTTGATCAAATGCTCCATTTATATAACTGATGTAAATTTATATATTTGTGTTAGTTTGTCAAAAGTGATGTAAATTAATAATGATTTATATCAGTTTTTTTAATTGATGTTAATCAAGTTAGTATAGTATTAATATCACTTTCTTTTAACTGATGGTAATCAAATTAATATTAATATCAATTATTTGAACTGATGTAAAATTTTATATTTAGTATCAATTTTTAATAAGTGATTCTAAATAAAGTCATTTATTTTTATGATACTTTATAAATGATGCTATCTACTATATCTCTTGTAAAATTATATATTAGTATCAATTTAAGATGAATATGAATTAAAAAATTAATGTAAATTTTTATGTTTAGTGTTAATTTTTAATAAATAATTATAAATAGAATCAATTATTTTATTAAAACTCTGTAAGTGATGTAATACATTTTTTTTAGTGGCTAAATCTTTTGTTCTAACGTGTGTTTGTTTTATTGCATGGAGTCTACAGAGGACCCACGAGCGATTTTCATTGCGTGGTCGTGGTCGATGCCTTATGCTAAATGGAGAACTGATTCTATTATGCAAATCGAGCCATGGAAAAATGTTCATGACAGAGGGTATATAAAAGTGGCAGCTTCTGTGATGGTGTTTGATATGCATTATAAGGCTGGGAGCCGCCATCCAACGTTTGGGATAAACAGAGGTCAAACAGAGACCAAAGCCTTTGATCTATGACTTTGGTTATCCCAAATTTGATTACGAATGTTAACCAGCATGATCAGGGCGAGAAGAAGAGAAGGAGACGCTGAATCTGAATCAAAGATGAAGAGTAATAGTTTCTATAACTAAAGATTGGTTCCACACGTTTTGAATGTTTAAATATGTGTTTGTTGATGAGCTGATTATATAAGAGTACAATGTTGGTACAATTAAAAAAAAACCAATTCAAACTTGATCACCAATCATGTCTATAAAACCAGATCCATACAATTTTCTACCTTCTCATATTCTCAATTTAATTATAAACTAAAAAATAGTGTATTCAACAAAAGGCGAATTTGATTGATATTTGAAAGTAACAGATAAGAAGGATCCTTCTTTTGTGAAGTTAAGTGTGAAGTAGTTGTGTTTCTTTGCAGCTCCACATGATCGGAAACATCTTCAAGATGAAGAAAGTAAACATATGTCACAATCTTCAGTTGTGTCAAGGTTTAAAGTATGTAAAAGACTACGAAGTGGGAATTCAAAGTATGTAAAAGACTACGAAGTGGGAATTCAAGAGAAAGGCAAACGATCTGCCTGATTTGACTATGCAAAAGTCAAGCCAAGCCTAAAAGAGCAGAAGAAGATAAGACGTTGTGAGTATGTTGGTACGTATTGACCTTCTGGACTCAAGAGACTTGAGACATCAATATTTTGACTGTGTAAACGACAAATCAAGTCGTTTAGAGCTAAATACTAAGATAATAGACCATTACTTTGTTGGTAATCATTTACAATCTTCTTCATTCCAACCAAGGAAAATCTGACCACGCTCTTGGTGGTTCTTTTGATTTAGTTTAGTTTGATGATGGAGGCTTTGCAACATTCTGAGCTCATATCGAACACACAACATCTTGCCATTACATACGATACACATATCGTTTTTTCCCCCATTTTCGTTTACTGAGAAAAGGATTTCTAAGATCCGAACCACCATAACTATTTGCTTATATAGTTTCACTAATAATTGTCACACACAAAAAAAAAACCTATCAATATATTAAGAAAAATTACCTACAATAAACTTGGTAAGTATAGTCTTGACTAAACTAGTTTTTGGTAAGATCAATTTTAAGAAATCTGGTAGAGAGACTTGTAAACCTGAAAGTTGTTTTAATCTACAAAATTGTCATTATGTATTTAAATTTATAGTAAAAAGGTTTTAAAAAATGTATACAAATGTGGTTGGAGATCTAGAAATGTATATAAATTGCCATATATTATAAATTCTCAACAGAGAAATCTGAAGAAACTACTTCAAGACTTGAAAACTCGGTAAGCAAATGTGGTCAGAGGTCTAGAAACGCATATTGGGCTAACTAATACTAGTACAATAGGAAGAAAGAAAAAACATACGTACCAAAACAATAGAGTTTGCATTACACAATCTTTGTTATTTTTAATTGCATTTTATTCTAGTTCTTTGAAGAGATTTTTACATGCGCACATGTCACCATGTGTTTGTCAACTAAAATATAGTAAGAGAGAGAGAGAAAGAAAAGCGTAAAGAGCTAAAAATGGCGCTTGAAAAACTCCCTGGCATCGAAACAACAATGATGTTCTTTAATTCTCATTTCCCTGATTCCTCAAAAAGAATCTAAGAGAAGGAAAAAAAGATATATAGCAGAACAATTTTTTCATCTTCTTCTGGTTACTTCTCTCAATCTCGAACATGGCGATTCCTGCGGCTCTTGTATTTATCCCTGTTGGTGTCCTCTTCTTGGTCTCAGGCCTTATCGTCAATCTCATTCAGGTCATACATTTTTGTTAATCGTAAAACTCTGTTTCTTACTCTGACACCAAAAGAAATATATCTTCATTGTCTTTCTCCATGAAATATACAATTTGTGTTCTTTAGATGTATGATAAAACTGAGAAGGAAAATCCTTTTCGCCAAATAATTAATGGTTTTGGACAACATTTTTCTCTGTTTCCAGCTTGTGTTCTTCATCATTGTTCGTCCATTCTCAAGAAGTTTATATAGAAGAATCAACAAAACCGTTGCGGAGTTACTTTGGTTGCAGCTCATATGGCTGATTGATTGGTGGGCTTGTATAAAGGTTGGTGGTTTTTATGAAAATCTTGTTTTGTCTACATACAAGTATCACAGTCTGATATGTGATCTTGTGTCTCTGTTGCAGATCAATTTATACGCTGATGCAGAGACTCTAGAATTAATTGGTAAAGATGAATTTAAGAGCTTATGCTACCTAAGTCTTTAAGTACTCGAATCTAATGATTTCTTGTTCTTGATATAACTTTCAGGGAAAGAACATGCACTTGTTTTATGCAATCATCGAAGTGACATTGATTGGCTTATTGGATGGGTCATGGCTCAGGTGTTCCTATCTTTGTCTCTTGATTTAAAAAAAAAAAAACAATTTGGAGAAATATCTGTCTCTGATTGATTATTAATAATCATATAACAGCGTGCAGGTTGTCTAGGAAGCTCTTTAGCCATCATGAAAAAAGAAGTCAAATATCTTCCAGTGAGTTTATTTTTTCTGATCTCTTGTTTTTAGTTTACTAATCTATGTTTAATTATGTTTTACTAAAACACTACAAGTCTTTCACAGATCATAGGTTGGTCGATGTGGTTCTCTGACTACATTTTCTTGGACAAAAGCTGGTCTAGGGATGAGAATACCCTCAAGGTCAATTTTTTGCTCTGTTTTCTCTCTTAACATTGTTTCTTGTTTTTATGTGCTTGACACATCTTTTTTGGTCTAACTTCTTGCAGGAAGGTTTTAAACGACTTGAGGACTTTCCTATGACATTCTGGTTGGCTCTTTTCGTTGAAGAACTCGTTTCACTCAGAAAAAGCTTGAAGCTGCTCAAGATTACGCCTCTAGCAGAAGCTTACCGTCTCCTCGAAATGTCTTGATTCCTCGTACAAAGGTGAGTTTTCACCATAACAACTTTCTAATTTTTGTGTGAGCTTTACTTCACCACTTGGATTTACATCAATATGACAAAACCAGGGATTTGTTTCTGCGGTGTCTCACATACGATCGTTTGTCCCTGCGATTTATGATTGTACCTTCACCGTTCAAAACAATCAGCCTACACCAACTCTGCTTAGGATGTTTAGTGGACAATCATCTGAGGTATATAAAAGATTCTGTTGTCCTGGTTTGTTACATGCTCACTTATACCAGAATCTTTTTGTTTCTTGAAGGTGAATTTGCAGATGAGACGTCACAAAATGACTGAGTTACCAGAAACTGATGACGGTATTGCACAATGGTGCCAAGATTTGTTCATCACAAAGGTTTTCACAATACCAAAAAATTTCAGTTCTGCTAAATTCTATTTGTCTCAAACGTTTCTTAAGTGATCACATTTTCTAAACCAGGATGCACAACTTGAGAAATACTTCACAAAAGATGTGTTCAGTGACTTGGAAGTTCAGCAAATCAAGCGGCCAATCAAACCATTGATCGTAAGAGAGACATCACTTATCGTATTACGCCAAAAATGCTATAAAATGGTTTTCTTATGATGTTGTTGGAAACAGGTGGTCATAATCTGGTTATGTCTGCTTATATGCGGTGGTTTCAAGCTAATTCAATGGCTCTCTGTAGTAGCCTCGTGGAAGATCATCTGTTTGTTTGTGTTCTTCTTGGTGATTGCAACTATAACAATGCAAATGCTGATTCAGTCCTCTGAGTCGCAACGTTCAACTCCAGCCAAGAAACATCTACAAGAACAGCTTATCTCTGCATAAAGGACAAGAGAAAACTCAAAAAGATTTCACATTGTCTTGTTCCTTTACTCAAAACAAAACCTGTAATTATATTGTTTATGTCTTGTTTCATCATTTTTAGTCTTGTCTATTCAAACAATAATTGTAACATGCATTGTCGAAATTTATCAGTTACATCCAAGTACAATATCATTATCATGTCCGAAGACAGTAGTACACTCAACGAGCTCCAGATGTTTTGTAAGACAATGTAAGCAACCATAGATCTTCTCATATCCAGGTCTCGATTTATCCCTAACAATGAACTCAGAGACAACTCCGTTGACCTCAATGGAACTACAACCAGGAATCTTCTCCACGCCTCTCTCATTCATCATCTTCCTCGCTCTCCTTGCATCTTCCCACATATTAGCCTCTTTATACATCCCATCCATCAACACATAGGTCCCGCTATCGCCGGAATCAAGTTCTAAAAGCTTCTTAGTCGCTTTCTCCCCCAACTCAACGTTACCGTGCATCCTGCAACCGAATAACAAAGCTCCCCAAACCGCAGCGTCTGCCTCCATTGGCATACTTTCCATGAGCCTCTCTGCTTCTTCTAGTAGCCCGGCTCTTCCTAGAAGGTCTACCACAATAGAGTAATGTTTCAACTGGGGATTTAGGTTGAATCTAGACTTCATCTGAGAGAAGTAATCAAGTCCCGTTTGGATCATCCCTGCGTGGCAACAAGCTGATAGTACTCCTATGAAAGTTATCTCATCTGGAGTTAACCCTGCATCAATCATTTCGTTGAAGTATGATATAGCCGCGGACGCATCTCCGTTATGTGCCAAGCCTCCGATTATCGCTGTGTATGTAAGCGAGTTTCTTGTTTGAATCCCATGGAAAACACTGCGAGCTTCTGAGATGTTCCCACATTTAGCGTACATGTCGACCAATGAAGTCCCTACCGCAACGTTGAGGCTAAGACTATGTTTCTCGATGTAACGATGGATCCAGATGCCTACATCAAGAGCACCGAGCTGAGAACACGCAGAGAGGCAATGGATCATTGTGATCTCGTCGGGCTTCGTGCTGCTCGTTTGCATCTCTTGGAACAATGCCAAAGCGTCTTGACCACGGTTGGCTTGGACTGATCCACCGATCATAGCGTTCCACAGCACAACATCTTTCTCTTCCATATCATCGAAGAGCTTCCTTGAAACATCGAGCAAGCCGCATCGAGCATACCCTGAAATCATCGTCGTCCACGACACGATTGTTCTCTTCTCCAAGTTATCAAATATCCTTCGAGCCTCGTGAACATCTCCGCATTTTGAGAACATATCCATCAGAGCGTTAGCAAGAGGAACAGTAACTCTCAGTCCATTTGCTTTTATGTATTCATAAAACTCTTTCCCAAGATTCAAACTTCCCAACACTGCACATGAAGAAACCAATCCAATCATAGTCACGTCATCAGGCTTAACACCTTCAGATTCCATCTGCTTATAAACCTGTATCGCCTTCTCCGCTTGACCAATCTTCTTATAGCCGTTGATCAAAGAGTTCCAAGAAACCAAGTCTCTCACGGGACTTTCATCGAACACTTTCCTCGCATTCTCCATCTCACCGCAAGAAGCAAACATATGAATCGAAGCATTATGCACATGAGTAACCAGTTCCAGTCTCAGCTTAAGAACATGCCCAAGAATCATCTGACCTAATCTATTCAACGCAAGATCGGCACAAACCTTGAACAGAACAGGGTAAGTGAAATGATCTGGCCTTGACTCACAATGTCTAAGCATCTGCTTGTAGATCAAAACCGCTTCTTTAGGATTCTCGCTCACGGAGAATCCTCTAATCGTTACGTTCCAAGAGAATGCGTTAGGGTTCTCAACGCCTCTCAGAATCTTCACACAGTAATCTAGATACCGAGATTCCGATAAGGCGCAGAAGGCGATTAGCCGGCTTGAGGCGAACGCATCGAGAATCATGCCGGTGATTATCATCTGAGATTGAATCTGCTTCAAATGGAACAACGAGTTGCATTTTTCGAGCAAGGAAAGAAGAGGATTGTGGAGAACGAAGCTGTGCGTTGAGTTCCAGCTGATGGGTTTGTCTCTGTGATGAGGAAGGGAACGATTTCGACGCTGAGAGTGAGAATACAACGAGCGGTTGAGTTTGGGTATCAGCGGAAGAAGAAGCTTTGCTTTACGCACATTCGATATGTTCATCGGACGTTGATTGTCGTCGGCGAAGTCGCCGGGAGAAAAAGACGTCTTCTTCTCTCAGAGATAACTCTTATTAATTGGGCTACAGGCCCAACCATTTTGGGCTTTATGAGATATTTATGTAATTTGAATTTAACGGTAGTCTTATACTATCGCAAATGATAATATAAAATAACGGTAATCAATATTTAGTGAAACTCCTTCACAGAATTAAATCACTACTTGCTATCAAAAATAAAATAGAAAGTTAATGCATATACAAAGCACACGTGTATGGGAAGTTTATGCATATACAAAGTAATATATATTATACACATGCTGACATGCATGCATGTATATATATGTATATATGTTACTAATTAAGGATTTGTAAGATAATATCAAAAATTAATTAAGTTTGTATTAATAGATAGATAAAAATGTTTGGAGAAGAGAGAACAATGAAGAAACAGAAGACAGGAGCGGTTTGAAAGAACGTACTGATGCAATTGCTTAGTGCAACCACAAAACATTTCACACTCGTGCTATCTCGGGAACATCTCATGTTTTAATATTCTCTACGAATTGAAAAAAATCAAAAGTAAGATGTATTGTGTCAAAAATTAAGTGGACTTGTATCATAATTTCTTCGAGTTCACATACATTGCAACCAACACAGTTTAGTTTCAAACCCACGGTCGTTGACCCATCTTCACGATGTTTGATCTTGCAATAAGCAAACACCTTGAAAACAAGAAATCGATATATAACGTCGTATAATCTAGCGTCGGTATCTCAATTAGAATACAAGCTGACCATATAAAATAAAAGAAAAGAACATTTTAAGTCCCGAGTTCAAATACCAAAAGGAAAACTAAGTTATGTATGTGTGCATGTGATCGAACTATATAAAATACCATCGAAAATAAGTCTGTTTAGTTTCCCAGTTTATCTATTTAAGAAAATTGCTATCAGTTAGAATATTTTTATAGTTCAAAAATCAAATCTTATAATTATATCGTTTTATGTAAAATCCGAAAAGATAAGTGATTAACTGTATTTAAAAAAACAATCCTTAAACAAAGTTTCTGTCACACGATTACAGCTTATATAACTTGCGATTGCGAGAAAGCAACACCAAGAGAGACAAAACATTGTAAAAGATAGTTTTGCTTGACGGGTTCACATGCACATTAATATCATCTTTCGGAATAGCATAAAACCCCTTTCGAAGTACTCAAATACTACTTGTTTAGAGAACATTCCTAAACGTGCCAAGAACCGTTGAATGATATATATACTCACACAACATTTACCATTTCGTATTGTTACTATTTCAACCGTCGCATGTGCAAGAAGAGCACGAAGAACTCCGACTTTTACGTCGAAGAAAGGATATATATTCGTCTTACCTCCAATAAGTCCTAACGTACTCAAGATTTAAGTCTTTTACCTTCGGTACAGGACTCAATATGTGCCATCGTCCATTCTCGCAAGAAGAGCAATTATCTATATTACACAAATAAGTAGTGATTTGAGCTGTAACACGATTACAACTTATAAATTGCGAGAGACAAAACAAAGTAAAAGATAGTTTTGCTTGACGTTTCACATGCGCATTAATAGCAGCTCTCTGAATAGCATAAAACCCCTTACGAAGTATATTCAAAATATTACTTCTTTAGAGAACATTTCTAAACGTACCAAGAGCCGTTGCATGGTAGTACTTACCATTCCATCATGTTATACTACTTTCAACTTCGCATGCATGAAGCTTGAGCTTCGTGTATGTGCCATCGTCCATTCCGGCAAGATGTAAGTAACAATGCTAAGCTCTAACTTTGAGTTTTCAGGTCTAGTTGGTGTACGAGATTTATAGGATGCTAAATCAAGTTCTGCATAATCGTTTTGGCCTTCATTTTTTTCTTTTGTAGATGAAGATTGATAAGTCAATCGAAAATGAAAAAAAAGAAGTCTACAAGAGTTCCATTCTAGATGTCATGCAGTTACTTCGTCTCTTTTTAATGACACTGTAACTGCTGTAACTGCTGTTTGCAGCCAGAGAGAGAACGAATAGTCTTGGATATAAAAGTCAAGTTGAAGTTGCAGGTACAATTTCTTTCTTATTTGTATTTTAAGAGATTCTATTTTGCAAGTTTGTGAAAGTCGGTTGACATTTCCTTCAGAATGGTTTTTGTCTATTGAGCATTTTGTGAGGCCTTACCGAGTCAGTCTATTTTGAATATGCTATTTTGTTTTTAATTGAGACAGTGCACTTTCTGTTCTATTTTGTAGCCTACTTGTTGTTGGAACCTTGTTCTCTCAAGACCCTTTTTAAAACCTGATAGTCCGCGGATCAGTCACTCACACTAGAGCAGCTGAAGTCTTATTTTGGCAAAAAGGTCTACAATGTTTGCTTCAATTGCCCAAAACAGAAATAGCCTCAGCTTGGTAATGCCATTTTCTGCTTCTTTGAAACATTTGTGGATGAAGTGACTTTTGAGAAGAATGAGAACCAATTTCTCTGCTGGCGATCTGTTGGAAAGGATGTTAACCCTTTCGAAGATGGATATGAAAGGGTGGTTAGACAATTGGTTAAAACAGACGAGGTTCCAAAGAAAGTTGAAGGAGAAGCTTTTGAAAAGAATCTTAGAAAATTGAATAGGGAAGTATGAGGACTGGTTCGAAACCAGTTGAGTCATGTAAATCATGTCATTATTAGTAGATAGTTTTTTCGTCACAGTTACTTGTATCATTAACATTTCTTTTGTTTGTTTTTGCAGATCTTTGCGCTTCTTTTGTTGCTGTAGACCTCACAAGCTCAATGACGGTCATATATGAGAAAGATACCAAATTTGTGAAATTAGGCGTGAAGGAGCTATGCTTCTATGTATCTTCCTTATCATCAGAGAAAACTTCTTCAAGATGAAAAAAGTGAACACATATGTCATGCTATTCACTTATCTACAGCTTTGAAGTATACAAGAGATGAAGGGGTCGGAATTCAAGAGGAATGCAAAGCATGTGCCTCATTCGATTGTGCTCACGATAGGCCAGAGCTGAAAGGGCAGAAAGATCAAGATAAAAGATTTCGCACAGGTTCTGAACTAAATAGACTTAAGACTCAGCCCATAGGAGTCACCCTTCTTATATTTACAGACTATTGGAATACGACATACGTAATTTAGGTTTAGGTTTAATAGATAACAAAAAAATATATATATTTTTTTAGAAGCTCGATAAATCAAGTTTTGTGGGTTTTCTGCGTGGTTGTAGTGGATGCGTTAATGCTTAATGGAGAGCTGATTCTCCTATGCAAATCCAGCCATGGAAAAAAGTCTAAAGGTGAAGGCTACGTAAGAGTGGCAGCATCATAGATGTTGGTTGGTACGCATTACAGGGCAGGGAGAAGCATTTTAGGGCTAGACAGAGGTGAAGAAGAAGCTCGAGGTGAAGAAGAAGCTCGAGGAGACACACCTCTCCATCTGTCTACACCAAACCGAAGGCTTTGGTTTATGATTTTTGCTATCCCAAGTTCGATAGGGAATGCGGAGTAGATCATCATGTTGGCCAGAAGAAAAGACGGATACGCTGAATCTGAGTCAAAGAAGAAGAGAAAGAGTTTCTATGGTTGTGACGAATTGTTTGAATTCGAGACTTTTAATGGCTTCGGATGATATTTCACTATTTTCTGTCTTGTATTTCAGTTGACTTTTCAGATACATAGTAGTTCCATGACCACCTCCAATGGGGGATTAAACACCAGTTTTAAATAATAAAAAAATCAAAAATTTAGAAAGAAAGATAGATGAAAGAGATCATACTCTCATTTAAGAATTTTTAGAAACTGTCTCTAGCCACTTGGCAGCATCTGATTAGTTTATCTTTTAAAAATAAAATAAAATTTAATTAGATAATATTGTTATATTAAAATATTATTAAATTAATGATGAATTTTAGAAGCTCACCGTTGGTGATGCTCTTAGCTCTCCCGTATATTTGTTGACTTTTGAGATGCATATTATTGTCTTTATCTTTGACAATGAGATCAGAGTTGGACCATTTGGTAGTGGCAAAAGTGATTTACTGGTGGAAACATTCCTCTGATTAGCTCTCCACATTGATCTTGATGCTCTAAAAACGAGAATTCATTATTGTGGATCGGCCAAGTGCAGGAGCCCGTTTTCGTGTAAAGCAAAACAGGGTAAGTGAAACGATCTGGTCTTGACTCGCAATGTCTAAGCATCTGCTTGTAGAGCAAAACCGCTTCTTTAGGATTCTCGCTCACGGAGAATCCTCTAATCCTTACGTTCCAAGATAATGCGTTAGGGTTCTCACATTCGATACGTTCATCGGCCGTTGATTGTCGTCGGCGAAGTCGCCGGGGAGAAAAGAAAAAAAGACGTGTTCTTCTCTCCGAGAGAGCTCTTATTAATTGGGCTACAGGCCCAATTATTTTGGGCTTTATGAGATATTAATGTATTTGAACTTAACGGTACTCTTACTGTCGCAAATGTTAATATAAAATTACGTTATCTTAATCTATATTTAGTAAAGTACTCCTCCTGTAATTGAATCACAACTTGCTATCAAAAAAAGAAGTTTATGCATATACAAATCACACATGTATACATATTATATACACATGCAGACATGCATGCATGTATATGTGATCTATATATGTTACTAGTTAAGGATTTGTAAGGTATAAGGACTTGAAAGATAATATCAAAATTAATTAAGTTTGTATTAATATATAGTGTGGTGCATAGATAGATAAAAATGTTTGGAGAAGAGAGAACAACGAAGAAACAGAAGACAAGAGACGGTTTGAAAGAACGTACTGATGCAATTGCAAAGTGCAACCACAAAACATTCACACTCGTGCTATCTCGGGAACATCTCATGTTTTAATATTCTCTATTGAATTAATAATATCAAAAGTAAAATATTGTGTGTCAAAAATTAAGTGGACTTTTATCATAAGCTCTTCGAGTTCACACACATTGCGACCAACATAATTTACTTTCAAACCCACGGTCGTTGACCCATCTTCGCAATGTTTGATCTTGCAATAAGCAAACAGCTTGAAAACTAGAAATCGATATATAACGTTGGTAGCTCAATTAGAATACAAGCTGACCATTTAAAAGAAAGAACATTTAAAGTCCCGAGTTTGAATACCAAAAGGAAAACTATATTAAAACAAAATGTATACCTTCGAAATCTAGTCTGTCCATTTAAGAAAATTGCTATCAATTAGAATATTGTATAGTTCAAAAATCAAATAAATTTAATTCAGTAATGAAGTCAGACCGATCAAACCGAAATACAAATAGGGTACTTTTACATATATAAAGTCAGACCAATCAAACCAAAATACACATAACATAGCAAATGAGTAGTCTATAGAGAGAGCCAGAGAGGACCATAAAAAATAATTGTCGTATCATGCCTACGAGAGTGTAAAAACCTATTTCAACATTATTACTATATATATAGATAGCCCTGAACAATCACATAAAATACATATTAGATGAAAAAAAACAATCATCATTTGTGCTAGAAGCGTATGCATTAATGCATGAATCGGGACATGGATCAAAATTAAAGAAAAAAAAGATCGATCGAAAATGAAAATCTTTTAAGACTGATCGTGTAGAAGAATAAGAAATTGGAGTTACCATTCCCAAGTAACATGTTTCTGAAGCGGAGCCGACATGGAGACGAGACCACCAAAGCAAGTGCTGTCTTAGATCACAACTATCTCCTTTCCCAAAGCCATCAATATATCATCCCCACAACACCTTATTGTTTAATTATCAATATACTACCTCTCTCCTTAAATACATATTTATATATATATATATATATACAATTATAAGTATTCTATGTTTGAGGTAGAGAACAAGCCTCTATATCCTTTTCGATATAGAGGATTAGTTGGTGTCTTGCCTTGGTGACCAATAGCTTCACGTAATATTCACAATTCGAATTTTAATACTAATGTTTGTCCACTTTTAGATGTGTTTTGACATAATCCGATCGCATGTCGATTCGTAAATCGTAACGTGTATTATTAAGTAATATATAGAAAATGAAAAAAAATAAAAAAAATCCAGTTCTTGCAACTTAAACATCTTATTTATATATAATGTAAGTTTCCCGAAATTTTGAAAGGAAAGACGAAAATTCCATCAACAATCACAAATTATTCTATTATTTCCAAAAATATACGCAAACTATTTAAGTTTCTAGAAAAATACATGAACAAAAAAAGCATTTACCATGTTACAGCGTGGTCCAAGATTAAAGGCACACTCATCATCTTCGAATTAACGGATGCTTACGCACTTAGAAGCACTGTTAAACCTATTAACGAACAAATATAGTTTAACGATACTGCATTTGAACTTTAATTTTATCAGTTAGTATAAAATAATGTTCTTTTAGTTTTTTTTTTTTTATGTTATTTTGGGCTAAAATTGCAGCCAAATTTTGAAAGGATCTCTTAACATCATATAAATTTCTCTTAAAAATATCATTTATCACTGTATTATTTAATTTAGACGGATTGAGTAATGCCAAATAGCCCCGATTTTTACAAAAACTCTAACAAGTCGATGGACATTTTGAATTTTAAGAGCACACACATCGGTTTAGAACAGTAAGATGTGTTCTCACCAATTTAATAATAATATTTAAATATAATATATTTATCCAATTAATTTTGAATTGAAATAGAAAACTTAAATCAATTAAAAATATATATATACATACCATTTAGAAGTTTTCATGATATTTTAAATGAGAATCGATTTTCAAAATTTCTCACTTCTTTTTTCTACTTTTCTTTTACTTTTAATATATTATTTTGAGATATTCTTTAAAAACTTATTGATAAAATGATCTAAAAACAGCTCCAACAGTAGTATATAAAACAGTATCTAAGATTAAAATAATAATAAAAGTTTTTTTAAAAAAGAATCAAAAACGTATTTTTATTGTCGTAAAAAAGACGTTTTTAAAAATGTTTAGATACTTTAAATATATATTTAAATGGCTTTATGTTATTAGTTTACTTTTTATTATTTAAAATTTAATTAAATAATTAAATTATATTAGTATAATATATTTTAGATACGGTGTTAGCGTTAGAGATGTTCTATCAACTACTAACTCTGTCTGTAATGGACTTAGTACTATTTCGTGGATTAAACGACTTTTGTTTATAGTTTCCTTAGTCGTGACCTGCTCAAATGTATCTTGTAAAGTCGGGGGAATTGTGTCTTAGTTGTCTGTGGTAGTATTGTTGTGTGTCGTAATTCAAATGTAATTTAAGTGGCATGTATGTGTTATGTGTAATGTGTAGTACAGTAGATATTATGTTGTATCATGATGTCATAATATACCAGATGTGATTAGACTTGTAGTTTAGTACACTACAGTTTTAAATTTCGGAGGTATGTAGTGTATCTTATTTGTAAACGATGAATAACAAATTTTATAAAGCAGCACTATATATATTTGATATTTTAAGAGCACTTCCATCTACCATCTTTCACCTTGTATCTCAATGTTAAAATATTTATGAAAAAATAGCATGAGAGATAACTAAACAACATTTTTATTTAAGAGATTTGGAGAAACATATTTTAGTTTTGGAACTTTTTCATTGGGTCAATTTTTTTATATCAAATTTTTATTGTTTAGATACTCATGAGTATAACGCTGATGGAAGTATTCTAAGTATCCTAATTAATTTTTAAAATTGGTGAAAGAAACAAAAAAGCAGGATGTTATTAGTTAAACGTTTTACAATAACTAATAATAAATAAAAATATATTAAAAAGTTTTGAAATTCAGTGGTTACCACACGATAAATTTTTGATCACCAAAAAATGAGTTGGTCAAATACTAATGTATTATTTGTTCAATTTTGACGCATGAAAATAATTGTTATAAAAGTTTTCCCTAGTTCTTCTCTTAAGTACAAGGATCTAATATTTGACTTTATAGTGCACATACGTACATACATACATATTCACCATTGCGCGAGTCCCAAAGATAGTTTCTTTTTTTGCGTCTTCAATTTTCTTCTTGGGTCTTTTCTCTCTACTTCCTTCTCCGTACCCTTTATTTATCATGAATATCTTCCACCGCTTCGTCACATCTCAAACATTACATACATCACATACTGACATACATATGTATACACTCACACACCCCTATATATACACACACACTCACACTCACATCCCTATCTCCACTGTCTATCTCTCTAGCACACAAACCCATCAACCGTAGCTACGGTGCCTTTCTTCTTCTTCTTCTCCTTTGTCTTCTCCTCAAAGTCATGTCTAATCCAGCTTGTTCCAATCTCTTCAACAATGGATTTGACAATACAAACTTCAACTATTCCACTTCTCTCTCTTACATTTACAACTCTCACAACAGCTTCTATTACCCTGATACCACAAACCCTAATTACATGGCTCCTAATACTACTTCCACTCTCCCTAACTCACCTCCACTCAGAGAAGCTCTTCCTCTTCTTAGCTTAAGCCCCATCAGGCACCAAGATCAACACTATTTCATGGACACAGACCAGATCAGCTCTTCAAACATTTGTGATGATTCTCATGATGTAACTGTGGATCTTCATCTAGGGTTACCAAACTCCGGTGTTGGTGAGAGCATTGGGAGTTATATTGCTCATGGTGCAACCACCGAGGAGCAAGATCATGACCAAGGAGTAGAGGTCACAGTTGACTCCCGCCTTCATGATGATGATGATCATGGAGATCTACAAAGAAATTATCACTATTGGATCCCTACTCCTGCTCAGATTTTGATTGGTCCTACACAGTTCTCTTGTCCTCTCTGCTTCAAGACATTCAACAGATACAACAACATGCAGGTATCATTGAATCCCAGAATCAACTTTAAACTCATACTAAAGATCTGACTTAATGTTCTTCAAAACGGATTTTAATTAGTTCATAGTTTTGTTTTTTTTTGGTGGGTCTAATAAAAACATATACAAACTCGTTATTGATTAATGGATCTTTAGGGGTACCTCTAATAGTTGTAACTTGTAACTAACAAGTACTTTTGGTAATTACTGCTATGCCTTGATGTTTATTAACTCGAGAATAATTAACTTTTTTACAAATTTGATGGTACACGTCAAATCGGTTTCAGGGTGTTGAATGATGGTGGCTATGTAAGATCAACTTACCAATTAAATCAGAAGATCTTCTTTAACCAACAGTCTTTTTGTCAGACTGACTCTTTATAACCCTGAAACATGCTTAGTCCACCTCCATCTTTATTGTCTCTCTTGATTTTTGTGAACTCATAAGTCCCAATTTCAAAAAAAAAAAATGAATATAAAATGTAAGGAGGATAAATGTCTAGCAGATTATTTTTGAATATAGACTTTGTTTTGATAATATATATAGCATATATACCAATACCACCCAAAAGATAGATACAGTACACAGCTAATAATTTTTTCATGCCAAAAGCAAATTTTTACATGAAATAAAGAGGCTAGGATATATAGAACTCTACCTATAGCGTTTAAAATTTCACATTTACATCTCTTTTTTTTTTGTTGGTTAAAGCCTTTTATATCTTATATAAGCATCATATAGAAGGCTTGTTTTTGTTTTGTTTCTGTTCATATGTTAAATTATTGAATTCATTTAAAAACAAATATAAGGCGTTTTGATTTCAAAGAGTTTCTGAAAATTATAAGTGCAAATACAACTGAAACCAAAATAAGATACATTTGGCTTTGCGTTTGCGTTTACTATTTCCAAACGTTGAATCAAAGAAAACCATTATTTTCATTACTCGTAAACATATAATACATGCATTTGAAACAATCCCATCCATAGAGTCACAATACCCACCATAATAGCATGTTTCATAGACTTCAAACTAATACTTTCTAATTAAAATTTTGAATCTGGTGATTACATACTATCATTAATGACATGAAAAACCTTTTTTTAATTATAGATGCACATGTGGGGACACGGCTCACAATACAGAAAAGGACCAGAGTCCCTAAGAGGAACCCAACCAACAGGAATGTTAAGGCTACCATGTTTCTGTTGTGCACCGGACTGCAAGAACAACATCAACCACCCACGAGCCAAGCCTCTCAAGGACTTTCGAACCCTCCAAACACATTACAAGCGCAAACACGGGTCTAGACCTTTTGCTTGTCGCAGGTGTGGCAAGGCATTCGCAGTGAAAGGAGATTGGAGAACTCATGAGAAGAATTGTGGAAAGCTTTGGTATTGCTCTTGTGGCTCGGATTTTAAGCACAAGAGATCGCTTAAGGACCACGTCAAGGCTTTTGGCAATGGTCATGTTCCTTGTGGGATCGATAGCTTTGGAGGAGATCATGAGGACTACTACGAGGCTGGTTCTGATATCGAGCAGCAAGATGATTGCAACAACAATGAGTCTTAGTTATGTTTGTTTTTTTCGTTCTGTTTTGCTCTCTCATGCATCAAATTAATTGTATGCATGTGTTCTTTAGGTTTGTTCATCGTTTCTTAGTTTTAACCTTTAAGTTATGTTTTTTTTTTGTGCTACTATTTTTATTATTTAGAACTTAACTAAAGATTTTCTTCGGTTTAATTTTATTTATAGAGAAATGCTTTTGCTTTATTGTATCTGGTTCTTAGATAAGGGGATTCAAGGATCTTTAATCCATTAGTGAGACTCTTGTTGATTCTGACCGGTACAAAATTCTGTAGTTCTTTAACGAGACTCTTAACTAAGAAAGATGCTTGAATTTATTCAATATTTAGGTGATCCTTTAACAATAAAAACACAATTTTATTGGGATAAAACATTAAAACCCTTCTTGAAAGGCTTTAATCATTTAGAGAGCTCAAGTCTTTGACAAGTCTTCTTAAATCTGCATTAGAGCTCCCTCTTGCTTCCGTCGCAGCTCGTGCCTTCTGTCCCATCTCCTTAGCCCGAGCACGCACCTCGCGTCCGTGCTCACCCATTGTTTCAGCTACAACCCGACCAAACTCGTGTGGGTCCGGCACAGTCTTCCCTCCTTCACAGACACTAACCGCCACACCCATATGCTCCACCAACAACCTCGCATTCACAAACTGGTCTGCTTCCATGGGCCAAGCCAAGACCATTGTTCCGCTAGCCATCGCTTCAATCACCGAGTTCCATCCACAATGGCTTAAAAACCCTCCAACCGCCACGTGGCTCAACACAGCCACCTGAGGAGCCCACCCTCTAACAACCAATCCTCGACCCGCAACCCGATCCTCGAACCCGTCGGGTATCGGGTCTGTCTTAGCCACCCAAACGAACCTGGTCACGCTCTTCTCGAGACCAAGAGCCAGAGCATCACACTGGTCTTTACTCAACACCTTTTGACTCCCGAAGCAGATGTAGAGCACGGATCCGTCTGGACATCCATCGAGCCAGCTCATCAAGGCCTTCACATCTACATTGGGATCGAAACTCTTCTTACTTAACCCGATTGAAGAAAGCGGGCCAACACCGAAAACCCGGTTATGGCCCACTTTCTGCTTCACGTACTCCATGTACTCCTCTTCAAGACACTCGCAAGAGTTGAAAACACAACCGTAGCTCGAGAAACTCATCGTGATGTCTTTGACACATGCGAGATCTTGCGATGACGGAGACTGCGGGATTAGAGACGGGAAATGCTCTGTTTTGAAAACAGGGGAACGAGGAAGATCCGGGAGACTGATAGGCTCGGTTGATTCTAAGATATGAGGCTTGTCAGAGACATAATGGAGAACCGAAGCTAAGAATGCTCCGGAGCTGATGAAGGCAAAGCGAGGAAGACCGAGGTTGTTGGTCCATCCAAGAAAGAAATCAGTGATGAGAGCGATGGGAGTATTTGGATGAGAACATAACCAGTTGGTGACAGGCTCTCGAAGCTGACGAAGAGAAGCCATAATCAGAGGATTACCGGAACAGCCGAGGTCTTTGACGTTTTCAACGCCGGGAGGGAGTGAAGGATTGTGAGGGAAAGGAAAAGTGACGGCGGAGACAGTGGATGGATGAGCGGAGAGAAGAGGAGAGAGGTAAGTGAGGTTTTTAGGAGTGACGATGATTGAGACTGTGATGTCGGTGAGAAGACAGAGTTGATGGGTTAAGTCGAGAAGAGGAAGCAAGTGGCCTTGTGCTGGATACGGGAACACCACTACGTGCGGTTTTGAACCGTTGCGTTTAGTTTCCGATGGTGGCTGCGCCATTTTTTCCGGTCAGTTTGGCGAGTGTTGTTTACGACGGTGATGAAATGTAAAATGATGGGTACTTAAATGGGTACTTAGTGCAAGTTAATATGCTCATCTTTACATCAATATAATTTTTTGTCTTTTTTTCCCAACAGAATGTAATTATCTGGATTCTAGATTTTTCTCTTTTTTTGAACTTTCATTTTGGTTCTTAGTATGTTATCTCAGCATGTGAAGATTTCCATTCGGACCCAAAAGGAAAAGTTTAAAAATCAACTTAGTAATATATCTCCGTTTTTTATCAACATTTAGTAATATATCTCTATCATCTAACAAAAAGTAGAAAAGAAATCTAGTTGTCAAACAAAATGTAAAAATAAAATCTAATCTACATATAAAGAATTTTTTTTTCTCCTAATTTTTTCGTTCAACTTTGTATCAAAATATAGTATTACTGTCTGTATCCTTCTTTTTTTTGGTTTTAGAACATTGGTTAAACATTTTGAATATTTTCATTAGTATTTTTTATATTATTTTATTTTTAATTAATTTTTAAAGTATAATAAGAATGCAATCAAACATAAGAAAGACAAACATTCCTGATATTCATCTCATTCTCTATCCTCTTATTTACTATATTATTAATTTAATTTGTTAAAGTACTCTCTAAAAGACCTTTAATGAATGTGTTTTTAAAATATTTATATTGACAACCTCAAAATAATAATAATATTATATTAAATAGATATAATTTTTAAGAATATAAAAATAAATAAACCTCTCAAATTTAAAATCTCTCAAATTTAAAGAGACCTGCTTATTATTTTTACTATATAATGCAGTACGTGTACATACAAATTTATATTATATTATATATATTAAAATTATGATTAATATATTATTTTATACATAGTGATGATATAATTTTTAAGTTGTTAACTATATATTTACATAAATATTATTTGAATTTATTTATATAATTTTTTGATAAAAATGTTTTAAATTATTATTTTGCAGAAATTATTCTATCATATTCATAAATTATCTTTAAAAAAAAAAATTTTGATATACGTTGTCATTCTCACAATTACACAACTGCAACTTCATGATTTTTTTTATCATCTCTAAAATTATACTTTTGCTTATTCTCATTCAAACAATTTATTTTTTGCATATTTTTTTCCAAAATACAATTTAAGCAAAATGTAATTTCGTAAATTAATCGTAATATTAGTTTTTAATTGAATTTCATAGATAACATATAGTACGGAGAACTGACAACAGCCAACGCATAAATTTATTATAATTTAATTTTCTCCAACATGTTACAACTCTTTCTTCTTTTTTTTTTGGTTCGCAAATTTGTATAACAATTTTTATTAGATTTTTAGTTTTTAATAAACTATATAAAACGCGATTTTCTAGATTAAAAGAAAAAACTCGGTAAATATTTACTAAATGTATTATCATAATGTTAGTTATCTTTTTTGGTTCCCATGAAATCTTGAGGAAATAATCATTACAGTGCAAAGGTGATAAATTTATAAGTTTTTGGTGAGTTTCCAGCGAAGCTTAACCGGTTAACGCAGGTTCGTATTCGTAATCAGAACCGAGAGAAGCGAGCTCTAGAGTCTTCATCGACAACCCATATGTTAAAGTTCATGACTTTACAATGTTACATAGCTCGCCAAACAGAGAAATGAAAAGGATCAGAGAGCCTGAGACCTGAAACCTCCATCGAAGGAGAAACCTAAACCTTGTTTTTTTAAAAAGCTTTCATAAAGCTACAGATACAATCTCAGTATGATACAGACCACACGGAAAACACAAACATAGTGCTCATAAATAATAAGAGAAACACATCAAAGCATACATTTTTTTAAGAGCACATTTCTCTGCTTGCAAACACAGATTATAAAGTTTCACACCACAAATATTGCAGAGGATGGAAGAAGCTACAGATCAACCCAAGCTTTCGTTCGTTCGACCATATATAAAAACCTTTTTTTTTTTTAACATGAGACACACCTTGAACCAGACACAGACAGGAAGAAGGAAACATACAGTGTACCTGAAAACAGAGTTTCTGAGTTTCAGATTTTGTCAAGCTTCTCTGCCTTTACAACCGGATTTGCTTTAGCTATTGCTTCTTGCGCAGCAGCATGGTAATTGAAGGAGCAGTCATGTATGTCTGCATAGCGGTGTGTCCCGCAGAAGAGGTTACCACAGCGACATTTGAATCCAGTCAAACCAACCCGTTTATTGCAAGTAGTACATCGGCTTGGTCCTTCCTTTGGTTTTGCTGCAGCTTCTGGTGCTACTACCTCCTCAACGGCTTGTACAGAGGATGGCTGTACAGTGACAACCATTGGCTCAACGGCCTTGGTTTCAACATCCACCAACGCAGCAGTAATGGTTTCCTTTATGATGTTGCTGGATGCTGATGTTCCGGACACTGCAGATGCAAACTTAGCCCCCTGTTCCTGTTGAAACAACATAGCCTTGTGACACTTCGAGCACATGTTCATTGTGGCAGCGCTTCCAAAGAAACCACAGTTGTTGATACATAGCTTGGGACCTTCAGGTGGGCTTTGGCATCCTGTCTTGTCGTGGTCCATTTCTGCAGTCATCCTCAGTTTCAGTAACATAGAAAAGATGGAGAATTCTTGACAATAACTACGAATTTACTATATGTTTCACTAAGGTCTCAAGAAACAAATAAGCACACGAACATATTGTTTTCAGTAAAGACTCTACCGATATACCTAATACATGATCTCATAACCTATCACCGAACTTTTGACGGAAACCTTCTAATGGTTTAAGATGTCAAATATGGATAAAACAAACCTAAAACTCCTTTTTTCCTGCGAACACTATAATCTAAAAACACAAAACACAAACTCCTAAAGCATGATTTCCAACCATAAGCTACCTTGAAGAGAATTCCAAAAAAGCACACCTTATATTACGCAAATAGAAGTGTCAATGAATCGTTATCTAAACTCATTTCTATCCAACGCAAACTTTCTTCACAGAAATGAAATGTCAGAAATTAGCTCTTTTATATATCAGTTAAAAGTTAAGAACTTTCATCGCAAATCATTTCGAATTTCTAAAACATACAAAACCCATATAGCTGATCTAATTTCCATTCAAAACTCACTACCATTCTTAACAGAAATAAGCTAATCTCACTTCAATCCAACACTACCTTTCTTCAGAGAAATGAAATGTTCAAAAATTAGCCTTTTACATCAGAACAAAAGTTAACACTTTTCATAGCAATTCAATTCAAACTTCAAAAGTACACAAAACCCCACCTCATGCACATAATACCCAGAAATCAAAAGTAATTAAACAGTCGAGAATCATGAAAGTAACCAGAAACTCAAGCTAACAATTGAACCCTACATAAAACTCGAAATCAAATACCGAAAAGCTACTCACCTGTTTGCCCAATAAGCCTTGATCGATCGGTCCCTAATCAGTAAAAGGAGACAAAACCCACCACATAAGTCGACAGAAAAACCTCCAAACACAAAGGGGAAATCGAAATTGGAATCGAAATCGAAATCGGAATCGAGACCCAAAAACCGATACAAAAGCAAAAAAAAGCAGAATAGAAATGAATAGAAACAGCTTACCCTACGAATCTCTCCAAAGAAGATCGTCTGCTGGAGAGATCCAGCAGAAGCTGAGAGGTAAGAGGAGAGAAAAAAAAGGTCGGCTTTTAGGCTTTTCTGGTTTCTCTCGTCGATTTTTTTTAGCGATCTTTTATATTTTTCATTCACACCGTTTGTGCTAGAGTCGGCTATGACGTGTACGTATCTGACTGGCTCCTTCTTTTGATTTTTTTTTGCTTTATTACTCATTTCAAATTTCAATTCATTTTTACTTTTTGAAAAAAGGTTTATATTAAAATTCCAAATGTTGTCTCACTTTTTTTATAAAAAAAATGTTGATTATAACTTATTTCTTTATCCTCAATATAATTTATATCTTAGCAAAAATACATATCATTATATACATCAAAGTTTTGTAAATAATGATTATACAATAAAACCTCTATAAATTAATAATATTAGAACTTCTAAATTTTATTTATTTATAAAATCATTAACTAATTATGAATTCATTGATAAATTAATATTTTATCAATAATATATAATTTTTACAATGATCCAATTTGTAATCAGTAAAATTTATTAATTTATAATAATTATTAATTTATAATTTTATTCCACTTCTTGCAAATCAATAAAATCATTTAGACCCCACAATAAAATAAAACCATCTCACTATTATAGAAACAAGAATAAAAGAAATATATTCTTATGTGAAACTATATCACCAATACTACTAGTTAATGACCCAATCTCACAATTATTGTTATAAGATGTCGAGGATGAGGTAAGGCAATTAACATTATTAGAAGAACAAGCAAACAAAAACATGTCACATTTCTGATCAGGGTTCCGAGTTATTTGATGATATCCGATCAATAACAGTGACTAGCTCAGGGTGAGTGGTACGCAGGTCAGATAATTGCTGGTGCAATTCAGCAGAACGATTCACAAACTGTTCCAGAGCTATGCTCCCAAACAGAAACATCTGCATGAATCAATCATGAAAGAAAGAAAGAAGATGACATCGATCTCACAGTAAAAAAAAAAAACCCACGAGACGGAAACAAATCACAAAAAGAATCCATACTTTTGAATCTGCAGGCTTACGCAAAGGATCCAAGACTTGACGCAGGGCCATCTTCAGTCTGTGGGAACTTATAAGCTGGTGCTTGATAATAGAACCTGAGATTTGTACAAGTCACAATACAAATTTCAACAAGAGATTACTCAAACAACATGTCACTGGTAGATTTTCAAATTCAAACAAGAAACAACATCCAAGACACACTCACCAAAGAGGATGGAGACGATTTTCAGCTGTCTCTCAGGATACTTGGGGAAGAACCGATATTCCACGAACAGATTAGCAATCATGCATTCAAAAATTAAATTTTCCCTGTCAAAATAAAAAACATGATAAGATAAAACTGAATTTTCTCAAAATAGGTAAAGTTTGGTCATAATCAAACCTCTGAGCCAAAGAGTTCTTGTATCGGGAAAGCATTTCAACCACTGCATCAACACTCGACTGACCAGTAAACAGTTGATGGAAATTAGCATTTGCTTCTGCCTCTACGTCATCCACATATGCATTGGAAGCTGATGAATCTTCAGCCTCATCACCATTCTGCAGTTGAGATGAGGCATGATGAGCTTTTTTAAAACGTTCAAGCAAATAAATCTCAATATTCACATAAAGATGTTCGTGAGACAAACGACCCATTCACCAAACTAATCAATGCCATTGGAGGCGTAACAAGGATTCACACCATCATGAATGCATGTGAAATCACTCAAATAAATTCGAATTTTTTTTTACCGGAGGGTTTGTGTTGTTCTGTTTCTCACTTGTTGTCGCCATTGCTACTGAAACCATTTGTAACAAAGCAACATCACAAATAGAGAAGAGAAATCAGCAACTCAGAAATTGACTATACGAAACGAAACAGAGACAAATCGACTAATCGGGAAATAAATGAAACTTCAGCAATAAAAAACAAACCGGAATCGAGAAAGAAGGAAGAGTACCTTTGAAAGACGAACAAGGTCACTCGTTCTTCGATCAGATCAATATGCCTCACAAATATAAAACGACGCTCAAATAGATTAGGGTTTCAGGCGTGAATGCATTTATATTTTTAATTTTTATATTAAAAGAGACAGAAGAAGAAGAAATTTAAAAAAAAAAAAAAAAAAACATTTTTTCTATATGCTTAATTTATAGAGGGCTAAATAGTGAATACACACGCATCATTGAAATTAGTCGAACCTGAAGCAGTATGAAACTCATTTAGACTTTTTTTTTTTGGTTTAAATGTTAATATTTATACCATTTTCTGAGTTTTACATGTTGCAAGCAACTTATTATAACTGATTTTAGAATAGGAACAAAGAAAAATTACAGGAGAGGAACAATATATTAAAAGTACAATTCAAGTAGAGAGGGAGACCTTACACTGACCGCCGGGAATGAGAGTAGCCTATTACGGAGGTGGCAATCAACAACATGGAGCAAAGAAGAAGCTGAAGAGGATGAGGTGGCGAAGATTCTGGCATTACGCTCCTTCCATAACAGGTAGATGATTGCTTGAAAGAAGAGCTTGATCAAGGTGCCACGAGGGAAATTTGCCGGAAGCTGCAGTGAACCAATCCAAGAGACAATGTCTTGTAGATTTTGCGGCGGATTAGGAAAACCAGCTGAGAAATAAGACCAACTTCAGAGGAGAAAGGACATTCAAAAAAGAGGTGGTCATGTGTTTCAATGCCTGTTGAGCAAAGCACACATTCCGCCGGCACGTTCATCCCCCATCTTCGAAGCCGATCTTTTGTAGGAAGCCTTGATATCATGGCTAACCATGTTGTGAAAGACCACCTCGGGACCCCTTCTTTAATCTAAACAACGCCATGCCAGGGGACAATAGGAGAATGAGATCTTATCTGTTCCCAGGTTTCTTTAGAGGAGAAAGAGTTGACGAACAAGCCCGCCGTGTTACGCCATATATAAACATCACTACCTCGCGAGTGATGGGGAGGAGAGATACTTGTCAGAAAAATCTGCAGGGCCTGAGCAGCATCCGATCTTGCCCCGGGGAGTCTCCATTGACCTGCAATTGTTGCACGAGACACACAAGCACTAAGTAGAATCCTGAGTTGTCTAGGGCCTGTTTCACCCAAGTACGAGAGAAGAGGTCCCATATCGGTCCAATAATCGAACCAAAAAGAAGCCTTAGCCCCATCACCTATCTGACAACGCAGGAAATCTGACAGAAGAGGCTTAACCTGGAGCATACTCCTAATAGAATTAGAGAAGCGGTTTGCATCATCTGTCAGCCAAAAACCCTTCCGACCAAACACATGAGTATTAACCCAAGCCATCCACAACGAGCCTGCAGATGAGAATAAGAGCCATGTTTGCTTTAGCCTGAAAACAATTTGGAACTCCTCCAACAACCGAATACCAAGACCCCCTTCCGGCTTAGGTCTACACACATCACCCCAAGACACACGAGCTCCCGCAGCGGAACCCGTCTTGTTTTTCCAAAGAAACGCAGAGCATAAAGAGTCCACTTTAGCGTAAAAATGCTTTGGTAAAGAGAAGACGGAGCTCCAGAAATTCACCATTCCGTAGATAACCGAAGAGATCAACCTTATTTTCTCCGCAAAGGATAAAAGCTTCACCGTCCATGAGTGCAGCTTACTCGTAATTTTCTCAATAAAAGGTTGCAGCGTTGAGAAAGAAATTCTTTGGGGGTTTAAGGGCAAACCTAAGTACCTTGTTGGGAAAGATCCGAGCTTAAATCCAGAATTTCTGCTCAGGGCCTCTGCCTCACTATCTGTGTAACCACCAAAGAAAATTTCCGATTTCGTAGGATTCATATCAAGGCCACATAATGATTTAAACTTATTCATAATCTCAGTTATGCTTGATAGAGAGCCGTTTGATCCGTCGGAGAAAATTAAGAGATCATCGGCAAATAAAAGATGAGTGATCAACGGATTAGAGCACTTCGGATGCAAACGAAGCCTTCCTTGATGAACTGCATTCTCAAGGAGCTTGGACAAGGTTTTCATAACCATAATGAATAAGTAAGGAGAGATAGAATCACCTTGGCGAAGCCCTTTTTTTCCGGCAAAGAAATCGGCCAATTCACCGTTTATAGCAATTGAGTACCTTGGCGAAGTAATGCATTCTTTAATCCAAGCTGTAAAGCGAGGAGGAAAATCTTGTGCTTCCAACATCTTTAGGATGAAATCCCAACATACTGTATCAAAAGCCTTTCTGATATCGACCTTAAGCATGCAACTTTTAGAGCAAGAAGCTTTGAGATAGTTTTTAATCAGCTCGGAAGAAAGCAGGACATTCTCACCAAGGCTACGACCTTTAAGGAAAACTGCTTGATTCGGGCTAATGCAGTCTTGAAGGATTGGTTTTAGCCTGTTGGCAATAATCTTGGAGATGATTTTATAGACAATATTACAACAGCTGATCGATCTATAATCACCTAATTTACATGCTTCCGGCTTCTTTGGGATAAGAGTAATGGCTGTGTTGTTCATGTCCTTCAGCAATCGACCATTTCTGAAGAATTCTTGCACTGCAGCGACAACATCGGAACCAACTAATTCCCAAGAAGGCCTGAGAAATTCCACTGAATAACCGTCAGGGCCCGGGATTTTATCTAGGGGCATTGCAAAGACAGTCCTGTGAATCTCATCCTCTGAAATTTCTTTTTGCAATTCCACCTTTTGAGAATCAGAGCAACGAAACGGTAACAAATTCTCCAACTGCGAAACATAGCAAGGGGAGATAGGAAGATCTGTGCTGCCAATAATTCCTTGGAAATACTCTACAGAATATGCCTTAATCTCTGTCGAGGTGCCAACTAAACTTTCATCTGCATCCCTTAAGAAATGGATATGGTTCCGTGTAGCTCTCGCAGCCACCGTTTTACTATAGAAGGGGGTGTTTCTATCTCCTACATGCAACCATCGAACCCTTGATTTCTGCCGGTAGAGTTTCTCCTCTGCGGTTGCCAGCGTTTTCCATTTTACTCTGGCTTGATGTTCCTCCCTAGCAATATCCTGATTAGGCATAGACAGAAGAGATCTTTGAAGTTCGGCAATTTTTGCTTCTTGAACCCAAACCCTCTCAGATATACCACTATAGTGGCGTTTGTTTAGGCGCCTGAGAGGCCTTTTAAGCAGTTTCAGAGATCTAACCAACTTGAATTGATTAAACCCAGATATAGTTGCAGAACTCCAAGCTTCTTTCACTGTATCAATATAGAGAGGATGATCGATGATGTGTTGAAAGAACTTGAATGGCTTACAGATTATCCTTTAAGCTGATGGGACCCTGAACAAGCATGATGCATGGTCTGACTGCTGAGGCGCCAAGAACTCTGCATATGCATCCGGAAAACAAGAGGACCACGCCTGATTTATGAGCGCGTGGTCGATCTTCTTGGCGATAGGGTTCTCATCTTGGTTGTTCCACCATGAGAAGGGGAGACCCTTTGATTGAGCTTCAAAAAGTTCTGCGTCTTGAAGAGTAAGACTGAAATCGTTGATACCAGAAACGTCAATATTCAGAGCTAGGTCATTTGAGTGATGAGCAACCCGCAAGATTTGGTTGAAGTCTCCAACAACCGCCCACGGATTTGAATGAACTGGAGTGGTAGCATTTAAGGTCATGAGCTCCTAACGTTCTTCTACGAGATTATACCCGTAAACAAAGGTCACGGTTAAGGTGACATTCTCTGCTGGAATGTGAATTCCACACGAGATAGCTTGAGCCGAAGATTTATAAACAAAAACGGGCACACTTGGATCCCAGACTACCACAATACGAGCGGTATTATGATGATCAAAGTTCCCAAAAAACTTCCAGCTGAATGGAATTGCCCGCAGAATTCTTCCTTCATTTATTTGTTGAATATGCGTTTCTAAAAACGCTCCAAAAAGAGGCCTATGGATATTAATCCAATCTTTAGTCATACTGTGGTGTAGGTCGCTGTTAAGTCCACGCATATTCCACACAAAAAACATTATTTACATTTAGAGTTATTTTGTGACCTTACGGCCACTCTTCCGGTGAGGCACCAAGAAGAAAGGGGGTTCTTGCTCTACAGCGGTACAATCTCCATCCTTCAGGAGAGATGTAGTTGCCTCTGCATCTTTATTTTCCGTAGTGCCACCACCATTTGACCCAGCACACGAGGTAATTCCTTTCTCACTAGTAAGCAAAGCATTCTTCTTTAAACATCCAACGGGAACTGCTCCAGCGACACGACCTTCTGGCTCTGTACCTCCATTCGGAACCACTCGAGCCTGTCCATTGAATTGAGCCTCCGTTGATCTGGCCACATCCCTCTTGTCCTGAGTAATCTCATCAATGCTCTGAGAGGGAGACCCCTCACCACCGGGGTTTTTAGTTGCCTCTCGAGATTGTGGTTTGTGTATCATCTCCTTAGCTCTCCCTGGCCTTGAGAGCCGTCTTATACGCTCTGGCGGACCTGGAGACTTCAACAATTTCCTACCACTTGCTAAGGGACGACATGACATCTTTTCATGACCAAATTTTCCACAAGCTTCACATTTCATCGGCAACCAGGGATATGAGACAGCGATTTCTACTTCTTTACCGCTTGAGAACCCAGAGATCACGGTCCAAGGAAGCTTTCTTGTGAGATCTACTCGAACGAGAACTTTTGCCACTTCAAAGTTCTCCTTTCTTTCTGTTTCAGGGGCTAGGGATACATGCTTACCCACTGCTGTAGAAATCCTGCTGAGACTTTCTTTATTGAAAAGGAGGTATGGAACATTACGAAGCTCAACGGGAACTATAGCTGAGGTTATCGGTGGTTGTTCTGGATCAAGATCTTGTGTCCATTGAGAAACAAACATAGGAAAACCTGCAATGTTCCATACTAGCCGGCTAAGGAGAATATCTCTTGTTTTCGGGTTAGTCACCCGAAGCAGATATGAGGTCTGGCCAACACGATGAACGAAGATTCTAGGTCCTGAGCGAGTCCAAATTGCATTTATCACTCCAATTATTCTTCCCATTTCAGGAGAATCTCCGTGAAAGCGAGCAAAAATGAAATCTTTAAACTCTTGCTTAGCTGCCGCTATGTTCTCATCAGGGATTAGAACAAAGGGGGCTCCAGAAATGTGTTGAGTTGGAGATCCCAATTCCTGAAGCTGGGCAGAGTCTTGAACCAAGCTTGACCACTTCCTTACCGGCTGAGTTACACCCACTGAAGGAGAAGCAATACAGTCTGAAGTTGTCGTAATGGCAACTTGTTCTGATTGAGATTTTGTGCCAGGTGAAATTTCTTCAGCGGCGACGAGAGGAAATACAGGCGCGAGTATTCCTTGCGGAAGATCGACCTGAGAAAAAGGTAGATCTGACTTCGGTCCTACTCCTGAAGTAGAGGAGTTCAGCAGATCTGGTTTACTAGCGACGCCGGGAAGCGAAGAGAGACTAACAGTTGTGGAATTGGTTCCAGCAGAGGTCGAGTTACCATCGGAGGAGCCTCCGACGAAAACGGAAACAGAAGAGGAGTCATCCCTCTCGGCAGAGGAGTTGGTGAGAACACGGAGAAATTTCTTAGAAACCGGAGGAGCCTTACTTGGCCTCCTCCTTTGCTTCGGCATAGGGTCTTTCCGTCCTCCGGCGTGAGGCCGGTGACGGTGGGAGGGGAAAAGAGAGAAGACAGTCACCTTCAGAGAGCTGATTTTTTTTTATTATTTATTTCATTTATTTTTTTTATTTCATTTAGACTTCGATCTGTTTTAAAATTTCTGCTACACATATTCACAGTTTTGTGACATTATAAACAGATAATAAAATGAAGCAAATCAATACAACAATAACACTCAAGTCTCTCCATAAGTTGACACATCAGATTTTTTAATCTTTGAGAAGCTGACACATCAGCTATTTTACAAACCAATCAAATTAAAACATTAATACAACTCATCTACTTATTTTAATTTTTAAATTTAAACCCATTAAAAACCCAAATACATTTTTTGTTAATAATTTGTTTTATTTTTTAAAAAATCAAAGCCCAAATAATAAACAACATCAAATAAAAAAAATCTTTGTTTTATTGTTTGTCAAATCCAAGCTCAAATAATAAATAACAGCAAATAAAAAAAAAAATCTTTGTTTTTTTTTTGCCAAATCCAAATCCCAATAATAATTAACAGAAAATAAATAATTTTTTTTAGGTATTTGTTTTTTCGACATAGACGTATATGATTTAAAAAGTGTAGGCTCATCATCAACTATGTTTACATAACAACAAGCAAAAAACCTTATGTTATAAGAAGCTCACACATCAATAAAACTCTGAACCAATAAAAACATAACAATAATACATATCATTCACACACTAATAAAATCAGTTTACTATTTTTCAGACCCATTAAAAAGCCCAAAAGTTTACAAAAAAATGGAAGTCGAAAGCAAATGAGGAGAAGCTCAGACCACCATGACTTGGAGATTCGCATTTCCAGTGGTTACTCTGAACAAATTTTCATGGGTTTAGCTGGAATAGGGAGTTCTTTGATTTCGGTAGGAAAATGTGATTTTCAGTTTTGCTAGGAAAACATAATTTCTTTGTTATGGCGGAAAAAATGAATTATCGGGTTTGGCGGAAAATGTGAATTTTTGGTTTTGGTGAGAAAACAAAAAAAATATATTAATTTTGACGCGAAAACAAAATATCTTAGTTTTGACGAGAAAATGCGAAGGAAATGCAACTTTCAATTGACAAAAAATATGATTTCTTGGTTTTGATAGGAAATGCAAATTTTCGGCTTTTGATGGATAATGTGATTTCTTGATTTTTTTGGGAAAATGTGATTTTTTACTTTTTGTGGGAAATTGTAATTTGAAGATTTTGGCGAAAAATGCAATTTCTCAGTTTGATGGGAAAACAAAATTTTTCGATTTTGGAAGGAATAAGCAATTTCTCGGTTTTGATGAAAAATGCAAATTTTCAGTTTTTTGACATATAATGTGATTTTTTGATTTTCGTGATAAAATATAATTTCTTAGTTTTTGCGGAAAACACAATTTCTCAGGAGATAATGCAATTTTTGGTTTCCGTGGAAAATTGTAGTTTATCAGTTTTGGTAGGAAGGCCTGATTTTTAGTTTGATGATTTTTTTTTGCAAGAATTGACGATTTCTCGGTTTTCATGGGAAAATAATTTTTTTGTCTTGGTGGAAAAACTTGATTTCTCTGTTTTGATGGGAAAACACAGGTTCTCGTAAGAAAATATGATTTTTTTTTTGTTTTTGCGGGAAAATATAATTTTTTTGTTTTGGTGTGAAAATGAAATTCCAAGTTTGACGAGAAAATGAATATTTTTGGTATTGGCAGGAATATGTGAAATGAAATTTTTTTGTTTTATCGGAAAGTGCGATTTCTCAGTTTTTTTTTTAATGACAATTTGCTTTATATAATTTCAATGGAGGATCAAGTGGCAATTTAATAAAGATAACAAATTATATTTGCCATTATCATAAATGTACTTAAAATGTATTGTTTTTTTCTTACATATACATTTCTAGATAGTTAGCTAAACAAATTTGATAGTAGATTATAATTTTAAAAAATAAAAAAATTTAAAGATATATAATGTTTATTCATATTTAAAACATATAAATATATAACTTAAGCTAATAAAAAATAAATATAATACTGATTTATATTATAAAAATAATTTTATTATATTAAAACTATATATAAAATCTGGAAATAAATCCCGCAGTGTAGCGCGAGTATATACCTAGTTAGTAATTAATTTGACGAAGAAAGGCTATTTTTTTGTTCAAAATATGATTAAAAAAAGTATTTGAAAGAAAAGTGATTCTAACATTGGGTCTGACTGGTATGTCAGATGAATAATAGAATAGCGGAATAACTGAAAAATTACTAGCGGAATGAACTGAACTGAATAATATTTTAGCTGAATAATTGTGAAACGCTGAAAAGCTACTTTTAGTAGATTAATCACGTTTTGTTTTTTTTAGTTATATTTTTAACATGCTAACAGAATCATGTTTCAAAAATATAAAAAAAACGTGAAAACGTGATGAATAACATGAATGGTAAAAAATAACAGAATCAAGTTTCCAAAACGTGAAAAAGCTGCATACCATTCAAACCCATTGATTTAACATGTGCTCTGTCTAAGTTCTTTATAACTAATCTGTCCGGTTGGAGATTAATTAGACCAAGTAAACGGAGCGCCAAGTCAAAGATTTCAACAGCTTTATAATGCAATCTTAAAATTCCAGCAAAATTAATCTGAAAACTTTTACTGCGTCTCGAAATCAACAATAAATAAGTTTTGTGCAAAGTCTAAAAAAATTTAAGCAAAACAATCAATATGTGGAATGTTGAGAGGCAAAGTTATTCACATACAGTAAGTTACACTAGAAAATAAGAATAAAAAATAGAGGGAGATCCAAATCTTTAATTATAAACGAGTTACAAGTTTGAGAAATTTAGTCAGAAGGGTTAGCTTTTAAACAAAATTTGGGTACTTTCTAATCTTGTTTTAGTACCCATATAACGCTAACCCTCGAGGACTCTGTTAACCGCCGCCGTCTACAAATTCATCATCTTCGCCGTCAAAAGTAAAAAAAGAAAAAAACCTAAATCCTCTCTGCTAATCAAGAAGACTCCAGCCGATCTAATGCTTGCGAAACAAGAAAATAATAGCTATTATTCAGAACCTACCTTTCCCCGCAAGAAACACGGAAAAATCAACCTTTTATTCATTCCACATTGTGAAAACACCTCCTGGATTCGATCCCTGAACAGACTCTCCAGTATTCCATCCTCCATACCCTGTGGCTCCACCTGAAGGAGGCATATCGTAATCGACTTTTACAGCAGAAAACTCTTCCTCAGCCGAGGATCCAACGGTCGAGCTTGACCCAATACCAATCCCATTGTTTCCAAGAAACCCTGAAGGGTTGTTATTATCGGAGACAAATCCGTGAAGCAAACCAGGGTTGCTCTGAAGATACGCGTTGTAGAGCTGTGAGCTGTGACTAGAAGACTGCAAGTAGTTGTTGGTCTCTTGCTGGTGAAGATGAAGCTGCGTCTGAATGTAACTATAGGAATCATGAGCGTTAGTATTGTACTGAGAGATATCGTTGTGGTTCTGTAGAGTAAGTAAAGGCTGGTGATGAAGATGCTCAAAAGGTTGTTGAATGCTTAGTGGGTAAGGTTGAAGCTGAAGCCTAGAGCTCGAAGCAACAGAGCTCGGTGCACCATACTGATGGAAATTTGAGCCGAGGGCTATCATTTCCTCGCGTTTTCTAGATGATTCTAAAGCTTGAGCTTCTTTGAGCCGTTTAGCCGCACCACCTCCTATAGGAAGTGTGTTGCTCTCTAATATAGCTTTCACGTCGTAGCGGTTTATCTCAAAGTTTGTAACCGCGTTTAGACCTCGAAACTTTATCGCAGCTATGTCGTATGCTTCTGCTGCTTCTTCCTCCGTGCCTGAGCAAAAGATATGAATATAACCATGACCATCTATAATGGTTTACTAGAATAATTCTTATAAAAAACAATTGAATCTGCATCGTTTTTTTATCGTTCATTCGAGTAGTCTCCAAATAATTTGAGAGTATAAAGATGCTATTTAAGAGTTATACTTACTGAACGTTCCCAAATAGAGATCTTTGTTCCCGGCAACTCGACCGATCCTTGCTTGCCATCTTCCATGTTGATGATGCCTTGTTACTCCACGATACATCGATGCACCACGCGAGAATCCGCTACTTTTCCTGCACTTCGTTACGAGGTTCTTTGATTAGAAAACTGCCATATATATATGCAGCAATATACGTTCAAGATCTCTTGAAGAACAGAGGCAAGGCAACCTTCTAATAGAAGCCACAAACTCTTGTCTCGTCATGTGTTTCATATCCTCAACTTCCTTCTCGTAGTTAGTAATCTAAAATATGTGACACAAAAAGAGGAAAGAACGATATTATTATCAACCATTAGTACGATTAGAAACGTGAATGAAAAATTGAAATAACTTACGGGAAAGTTGGTAGTAGTGGAGGGACCCCAATATTTAAGTGCAGCTAGATCATATGCTCTTGCTGCTTTCTCTTCTTTGTCATACCCACCTGAATTTATAAATTATAACCCAATATTAAAACAAAACATTCTTATGTTTTTTAAATCAAAATATATATAATCGAGACCGCGAAAAACAAGAATCATGTATACTCACCTAAGTAGACTGTAGAGATATCGAAGAAGTCCAAGATTCAAGCATCAAGAAGATAATAATGATGAGGAACATAATTAGTCCAGTATCAAGAATTCTGTCGATGCTAGACCAAAAAGTGGAAATTAATTAAGTAATTAATCAAATAAATGACTACACTTACCTTGTCTTCCTTTTCTTGATTGCCCTTCTCTTCTACAACTATTATCCCAAAGATGAGCTTCATATCTACCGGTCCATCTATGTCTATAACACCACCCAAAAAAAAAGATAAAATATTTATATACCCATTTCGTTACTAGACTAAGGAACAAAATGAAATTTCTTGAAATAATGGATCTCATTAAGACCTTGTAACGCCACGATAGATAGAGGTTCGTTGTC